AGATGATCTACCGGTTAGAGTGGATTTTTGTGAAACATTGCAACAAAGGACAGCCCACAATCCAAATTTTTTAAAATGCATTCTTTTTACGAACTAGGCTACCTTTACGCGACAAGGTATGTTCACCTCCCATAATGCACACTACTGGTGTGATGAGAATCCACGAGACAAAAGGGTATCACATTACTAACACTTGTTTAAAGTTAATGTTTGGGCAGCAACTTTAGGTAACAAATTAATAGGTTATCATATTCTACCTGAAAATTTAAATGGTGATATGTATCTTGATTTTTTAAACAATTCCTTTTTCGAGATATTAGAAGATTTAACGCTAAACGAGCAAAGATCTTTATTTTTTATGCACGATGGAGCTACACCACACTTTGATACTCATTTTCCGAATCGATGGATTGGTAGAGGTGCAGAAGCTCCGATTCATTGGCCTCCTCGGTCATGAGATTTTAATCCTTTGGACTACGCAGTTTGGTCGTATATTAAGGAAAAAGTCTTTGCTACAGAGGTAAATTCACGCCAAGAATTGGACGAAAGAATTCAACGTCAATTTAATGACATCATAGCTGATCCCCTACCGTTTAGAAGGTTAATGGAATCTTTAGAAAAAAGAATAGACTGATTCTGTGAGTATTCGCGAAAACGGAGGGCATTTTGAATACTTACTGTAATTGAATTTTATTTGATGTTCTTAGTCATTAATTTAATTTTCTTCTTGTGAGTTTTGTTTAATTACTAACTATTTTATACCAGCATCAATTATTACTTCATAATTTTTAAATCAAAATATTCCGAAAACGGTACACAGTATCGAGTTTTACCAAGAGTACCTTTTTCGTGTAAAATTGAATGATGTTTAAGTTTACTTGAAATTTTCATTAATAATTATATTCTTAAAAAAGTTATATTGACTAATACTTAGTACGATCCGTGTAACTAGCGCCCTCTATGAGAATCAGATATAAAAACAAATTCATGGGATGTATCAGCTTCCAAAACATATTCGCATAAAATTTCATTACAATGTTGCCAGTAGTTTCGGCAAAATCATAAAAAATGCGAAAAATTTTTTTTTTCTTCAACGCCCTGTATCTTGAAAACGGATGGCGTTACAAAAATTTTTTACTAAGCAAATCCCAATTATTTGTCAATCTTTTTACCTACCCTAGAGACGTGGTTACCTTTTTTTTTGAAACACCCTGTATAATAGATAATAAAATTGTAACCGACATCTTTTGTATATCTGATATGCGTAGTTAGAAGAAATTCCTTTAAGAAATTTGATTGTTTTATTCTAAAACACTTGTTTCTTGACGAAATTTAACGAAAGGGAAAGTAGTATCTAGACATAGTTTATAAAGTTTCTCTATTTTGGAATATCCTGTACTCGTCTAAATATTTTTGATTTGAGCCAGCTAATGACTTACGTGTTTCTGTCAAAGATTTTTTTTATTATCGTTAGCTTTTTGTCCAGTAGTATCATTCTGTTTGAGCGTGACTTACCCTGTATACTTTTTTAGGCTGTAGAGCTGTTTATAAAAATTATAAATAAGAGAAGTAAAAGTCTAGGAAAACAGGTAAAACGTATATTTTATATTTTTAAAAAATTTAAAGTTCAAGATTTCAACATACATGATAATGTTTAAACATGCTAAATATATATTTTCAGTGGTAACAGTTCATAAAATTGAAGTATTATATATTCTAATAAGTATTATCTCGTAAAATATCTGTAAAATTGATTGAACAGTCACACTGGCACACCCACAACATCGTGAACATCGTGTCGTACAATCACACTTCTTTAAAATATGTTCAAGGTTTTTAAAATTTGTCCAAAAGCTTAAGACACCTGTGATTAAAACTAGTTAACCTACAAAGGGGAAAAGTTGACCCATCACTTTAATTTTTATTTATTCAGAAAAAATGCAGTCTGTTCCGTAATTATTTGAACAGTTGCAAATACGCAGGGATTTGATTTTAATAAATATTGCTTGTGTTCATTCTACCGCTTGTTTTCTCTTGAGAGTTGGTCTCATTATTTCTTAGAATATACAGAGTATTTCAAAAAGGTATGTCATAAATTACATCACGCATTTCGGGGACAAAAATAAATTAATTGAATCCAACCTACAAAAAAAGTTACAGCCCTTTGAAGTTACAAAATAACTTCTATTCAAAAATAACTTTTTTTGTGTGCACTTTTGTACTAAGGTAAGTTGTATTCACTCAATTAAGTTTTGTTCCCGGAATGCGTGATTTAATTTATGACATACATTTTTGAATCACCCTGTATACATGTCGGGGTTATGAGTGAAGTCCAATAACGTTCGTCCATTATTGTTACTCATTTCCTCTGGATGTTTTCTAATTACATTTATATACACTTTATATTGTATTTCTAATCTTCCATTAAATAATATTTTTTCTTTGCTATTTCCATTATTAAAGGTTATCCTTCCCGAAAAGCATCTCTTTTATTGCTTTTAGATCCAGATATTGCTAAAATTATCTTAGTAATGCATTAAACATACGACTTCTTTTACTGTTCTCCTATTGTTGTCTACCTACTTTCATATAAATATATGCCCATATGCTCATTGTTAGCTTCCTTTTCCTTTCCTTATTGTTCACGGATTCATTAATATGTGATCAAGATCAAGTTCAATTTTATTTTCTTTGATGCGTTATGTGTTTCATCTTACCAGTTCTGTTATAATCTCATTTTTAGTAAAACCTTGTTTTATGTTTTTAATACGTAATCTACAATCATCTTTAACCTGCTCGTAATTTAAAACTAGTTTTTTAGAAATATCTGAAATTTTAAATAATTCCAAAAATAATTAGAAACAAATTTTAATGATCCACTCTGTAAAAGGAACACGAGCAATATGATACTTTTAAACACTTAATTTAATGCATTCTGTAATTCAACTAAGCAACAAATAATTATGGAACAGGCAGAGAAATTATTCTATTTAAAAGCCATTTATCTCTGTTGCCTCAAATTCTTAACTTAATAATAAGAAAAATCATTATTTAATAAAAATTGTAGTGTTTTGTTCCGAAAATCCTTTACCCTAAAATCTAAAATCTAATGTGTGTAAGGTTTGATTCAGAAAAATGAATTAAAATAGGAATTTTGTTGGAATAATGAGAAATCTGAAATGTGGCGGATGCGGCGGTACAATTACACCAGAATAGCACAATATTTTGCACCAATTTCGTCTTTTATAAAAGGGAAATTATTTACGAAATAAATATTTAAATAAAAATATATTCAAAATAAAGTATATCAATATAAGAATATTAAACTTTAAAAACGAAAAAAATCAGACGACGTTGAAAAACTAGGATGTATTACTGGAAATATTCATCAACAGTGTTACGCAATATTTAAATAAGGACAACTAGACCAGAGAACTAAGGACTTTCCCGTGATATTCGTTGATTTAAGTATCTAACAACTGCTTTTGATAAATTTGGTCATAATATGTATTAAATAAAATAATATGCAAAATATTAGACGTCATTTTTTTACTTGTAAACAATATTTTAACAATGAAAGAAATTTGATTTTAAATAATAAAGGTAAAGAACGGTAAGCTATATAAATGTGACACTGTTTTATTGAACAAGTATAGAAAATAATTTAAAATAAGGGTTGGTAAATTATTTTTGTTAATTTTTTTGCTTAACGATTGCAAAAATAGCTTCGAAAGTTGATTTTTTGAAAATTATTAATTCATCTAAAAATGCACAAAAAAATTTCATTTTTCTTAAGCATAAGTATTCAGATTTAGCCATATGGCTCACACTCCCTCCAAGGGAAAAAATTCACTCATCCCAGATACCTACGGTATCAAAAGGATTGAGCTCTGGCGGGACTCTTTCCATGTTATCGAAAGAAATGCCCACTAGACCACCCAGAAAACATATTTGTGAGTATATTCTTTGATGATAGAGATCACATTAGGGAGCATGGAGAAAAATAAAAAAAAGCTAGAGACACTGAAAGCAGGTTACAACACTGCCGGTTCTTCGGCATATTTCTTCTGAGGACCTTCACATCATAGTAAAAGATGAAAGCTTGGATATTTTTTATTTTCCCTGCCACACACAATCTGTGGAAAGATGTGTTAAACTGATTACAGAAGCCTCCCAAAATGTAACTGATGCTACTTCTAGAGATAGCTTTATCAGAACCAGGTTGGAGTCTCGGGCAGAAATGCCAAATTTTGTTCAAATTCTTTGTCATCAAATATATGATACATTTTGTTTGTTAAGTTGTTTTAAACTTTTTCATCAATTTTAATAATAAAATATCTTTTAAGTTTAATTTGTGTATTATTTGAAGTACATGATTTAGGTATGTACAAACGTAAAATTTACAAAACTTTAAAGTCTAGTAGAGCCCTGAAGGTGACATGCTATCGTATTTATTTTACATTTTTTTTTAATCTCTGGAAAATTATGCAAATTTTAATACCTCTTGCGATCGTGTAGCTCAAAAAATTTTCTTATGCAAAAACGGGACACCCTAATGAACAGCTACATTGGAATTTTGAAACTTTGAGAAAAGTAGAGATATACCAAAATGTTGCTATTGACAGACAAGAAAGCATATAGAATTAAATGTTGTTGAACATGGCTTGTGCTTGAGATGACTACCTACTCAGTCGAAATCTCTGTGGGAAATATAAGTTAAAATAGGCCAAAGCAGAAACGACTAGTGAAAAAGACTAGTAAAGATACTTTTTAGGGCTTTTACTGTAATAGCTAAAAGCTTGTCAAACAGCTGATCATGAGAACAAGGTTTTACTAATAGATATCCCTAAGTATTCATTACCAAATGATTAATAAAATAAAAACAACTGAATATTTATTAAATATAAATTCTTTACTTTATTTGAAGTATTTTTGAGTGATGTGTCAAATTTCTGCACCAGTATATGATTGCCGTGTACATAAGAATATATTGGTAAAATTTACTTGATAATAGTTGTTGATAATTGAGAGACCAATCGAGGTGTCCTTGGTTCGAGTTCCAGAGAAGTGTTATATAGTTCTTCGTCGTCCATAATAAGCGAAGTATCTAACAAATAATTGGCTACCTTTTGTATGAGTTCTATATTGTACGGGGTCTGTTGAAAGTGCCGAATTTCTCGAATAACATGGGCAATCTGGAAAAAAATTAAATATAATTTTTACACGTAATTTGTTTACTCACTTTTATACAGTACCAACGACATGTACAAGGTTTCTTATTATATTTTGACCCCCTACTTATTTGGCTTTATTACAAGAATACAAAAAAAGTTTGAAATAAAAGTTGTATTATTTTATCTGTACCGACCTACAGTGTAGCAACAGACCAAATTTTAATTCTTTTAGACTAGAATAATTTGTTCTATGGTCGGTCCAAGGAACTCGCAACATTTTTCTCCAGAAAATTTCAGTGGCATGTATATTTCTCCTTTCTGATTGCGTTGGTGTTCAAGATTATTATTCATGTCAGTACTGAAAATATTAAGGATGACCAATATAATTTTAAGGGTTTTTGAAATATTGATCTTTCCATATTTTGGTCATTTTCCCCATAGCGATTTTGGCTAATATAGTATAGATCACATGTACGTTTTCTCTTCCTAAAGTTCCTCAGTGTTTGTGACCAAAAATCCCATATATAAATAAGAGTTAACAACATTAAACTGGTCAATTTTGGTTATACGTGAATGATTGTTATGTTGCCTATCCACTATTATGATTTTTGTCTTTTGTATATTTAACTCCAGATCAAAGTTTTGACTCAACCAGCCTCTCAACCAGCCGTATGAGATGAATCATGTCTTCTTTTGCTGTTAGCAAGGAGAATTGTATCTTCCAAAAAGCATATACTGCTTATTTTATGATTATTTATTAATATGTCTTTTTCTTTGTATAGTGATAATTAGCTGGGGAGATACATTGTAAGTTAATTAAACTTAAATCTCTTACATGTAATATTTGCTTATGCCGTAGGTATATCTATATTTTTAATTCAGTAAGAGCTTAAAATAAAAAATATGAATTTTAAAGTAGGAGAAATTAGTACATTTTATATGAAGGGGTTATTAAAATACTTTCCCGTCCACCGCCCATTTATGATAAATTTTAATACCCTCAAAATCATTGATTAATGACCCCTAGTAATGAATGATTTTCTATTAATGAACGATTTCATTATAGGCAACAAAACATACATTGCTTGCATAAATTAATTAAACCCTCTGTGATTGACAGTGACCTGTGGTGTAGGCAACCAAACATACTAAACTTTGAATAAAGTTAATGAAAGCTGAAAAAATTGTTGTTTATCGTAGTAAGTAAATAAAATTTTAAACTAAGATATCTTTATTTGTGAAAAGTACGGTCAACGGAAAAGTTTTGTAACTAATTCGTGAATTAAAATGGCGATTAACAATCTCGAACATTAACGCGCTCGCTCCGCCCACGTGTTAAAATATCTCAATTGTTAATAACTCTTATTAATACACTTGTTGGTTAATAGTATATTACATAACGAGAGTTGTAAGAAGCTTATTACATGCGAGTAAAAAAGTTGCGCGAGAGCCGCGTAGCGGCGAGCGCAGTAATTTTACAAGCATGTAATAAGCTTACAACTCAAGTCGTGTACTATACTTTTTCTACCATTATTTACGTTTATAAAAATAAAAATTAAATTACCACTATATTTACACTGACATATTAATGATTTTTAATCTGTCAAAATAACGTCTGTTAATTGGTTTCCATGGTAACTCGACCAACTGACTTACAAGGCTTATGTGATATTACACATTTTTATAAAACTGAAGCGTAATTTTTTTTATTACGTGCTAGTCATTACGTGTCAGTATCTGTTATGATGCATTTACTTAGCATCCAAATAGTAGGTAATATACAATTTACTAGTAAGCGAGTAGAAAAACATCTATTAATAATAATAAAGTGGCTAGATAAAATGTCATCAATTAATCAATGTTAAAAAACGAGGAAAGATCATAATTAATCTTATTAATTATTAAATGTGAGCTTTTATCGATAAAATAATAAAGAACGATGACACATTAATGAATCCATTTCAAAATTGAAAAACTAGCGTCCAATGAATAACTTACCATGCGCATTTTCGAAAAGTTTAGAAGTCCATCGGAAGTAAAATTTGGGGTTCCCTCTTCGATAAAAGATAAGTCCGTTAAATACATGCCTAGGTATGGTATACAGGGTGGATCACATCTATGTAAAGCGTCTCTTAGAGATCTAAAACGCCCGTCTGATGACACAACAGTCTGCAGCTTTTCAATTGTATGCTTGGCCTAAAAATAAGGTTAATATTTTCAAAGTTTAAACAAATCTATTCAATCTGTACTATATTTGCCTTATTTAACAGAGTTTTATATATAAGTACGAGTTGATGTAGAGCCGCCGACGAGTTAACATCGTAAGCGTTTCAGCATCGAATATATCGTTTAAAAACTGGTGTAGTGTGCCTGATGTGGTTTTTGTACGATAAGAACAATTAATAGCTATTTAATAAAAAGTGATTTGAAACATCATTGTATAAAAATAGTTAATACAAATAATTTGCCGGCCCTATAGGCCAGGCATTGAGAATTAAATTGTTTAGTTAATACCAACAATTGACGTGTAGCTTATGTGTACATGAGTAGCACAGGAAATAACATCAAACCAACTGTTCCTTCCACAACAATGTCTCAACAAGATTCATCAATCCGCAACAAACAAGATACATCAAACAACAACACTTCTACAATGTCGTATGTAACAGCAGCAAAAACAACACCGAAACCAACCTACCCAAAGAAAGAACAAGCAATCATACTCCATGCCGAAGACAGCCTCAAATTATTTGATTATGTAAAAGCAATTGGTGATATTATCGAACCCAGGAACATCTGTTTCGCCTCCAGAATCTCCAACAACAGGGTCTGTATATATTTAACTAATAAAAACATAGTAGATGAACTTGTAAAATCTCATCCTACCATACAAATCGGCTCCCTAACTTTAAACATACGTAAACTCGTTTCTCCTACAAAGAGAATCTTAATATCCAATGTCTCACCGTGTATCCCACATGAAATTATCGAAAACGCTGTTAAAAGCCTAGGTCTAAAAATTGCTTCCCCAGTATCATTTCTTAAAGCAGGTATTCCGGGGATGAATTCTCACATATCCTTAGCTTTAGAAGACAAGTTTATGTATTTCCGCCCTCCGAAACCTTTGAGCTCCAAACCTCCTTGTGCTCTCTTTCGAAGATAATGAAAACCGCATCTTCCTTTCTACTGACAAAATGGAATGTTTCGTTTGTAAAAGATCAGGGCATGTCGCTTCAAATTGCACAAATCCGCCAGAAAGTACCTCTTCTGACCAGACAATCGTTTCATCTCCTTTAAGAGCCGAATCCACGTCTACTGAAAAAAGCCCAGAAACCAACACTGTACCTTTTGCACCAACAGAGACATCTCCTCCAGTCAATAATATACCACCTACGTCGTCAAATAACAACTCCTCATTAGAACAACCAAGTCAACATATTACAGATACACAAACACACTATAAACGCACACACTCAGAACTTTCATCTCCTAGTGACAGAACTAGCATAACTGAAGAATCCACTCATAGTGAACAAACTAATATTTATGCCGGGTTTTCCAAACCACAAAGCAAGAAAAAACTTAAACGGTCAAATTGTGACTCAACCCTATCCGAAATAGCAAAAACAATTATACGCGAACTTTATAAAGAAACCCCACAAATATTCATAATCCCAGCAGATAACATAATTTCTCTTCTTGAAAATTGTCACGGTAGTAGCGATCCATACACAGAAGCATTAAAATTCACACCGGACATCAAATCACTTATTTGTATCTACGTTATACCAAATCTATCCCAACCTTAATGAAAAATCAACCAAAAATAGGCTAACTCGTCTTATAAAAAAATTTAAGGACAAAACCGAACTCTTAATGGGTGATTCTACAAAATTACCCAATCTTGACTTCTCACATGAAACAACTGACGATGAGTACATCTCTGATACATATCAAAACTCACAGACATCTCAAAAATCCTCTCATTAACAAATTCATAATTATCCAATGGAACTGCGATGGATTCTATCCTCGCCTGGCACGCATACAACAACTTATTTCCGAAACCAATCCTGACTTTATTTGTTTACAAGAAACAAACTTTACAGAAACGCACAACCCTCATCTAAAAAACTTTGTTGGTTATCACCATATCAGAACTACACACCGACGCGCTAGCGGAGGAACAACAATTTTCGCATCAACTGAAATTTTTCACCGTAAACTACACCTAAACACTGCATTAGAAGCTGTTGCTATAACAGCATGGTGTCCAGAACAAATCACAATATGTAGCTTATATATTCCTCCTAATTACACATTGACAAGCACTGAATTAGAAAACCTAATATCTCAAATTTCTGGCCCATTTATTATGGTTGGAGATTTTAATGCACACAACACTATGTGGGGATCCAAAAATACATATGGTAGAGGTAAAATAATCGAAAATGTCATTAACAATACTGATATTAACTTATTAAACACAGGAAATAGTACATACTTTCATGTTCAGTCAGGAAGCTTCTCATCAATAGACTTAAGCTTATGTGATCCCAAAATACACCCGTTACTAACCTGGCATACTCTAGATAGCTTATTTGATAGCAATCATTTTCCCATTATTATTACTAACAATGCAGTCAAATCGGAATATACAAAAACGAGATGGAAAATCTCAGATGCTAATTGGGAACTCTTCAAACTAACTGTAAAAGAACGCACAGATGTACTCAAATATCAAAATAACATAGACGAAGACATAAAACAACTAAACCATTGCATAGTTTCATCCGCAGAGGAGTGTATCGGCAAATACAAAATTAACCCAAAACAAAAACACGTTCCCTGGTGGAATGACTCATGCAAAACAGCAATACAAGAAAGCAAAAGAGCTTTAAACAGATTCCGAAAATCTCGCACTCTAGCTGACTTAATAAATTTCAAAAGGCTCAGAGCAAAAACAAAACGAATAATAAAAAACAGTAAACAAAATTCATGGAATCATTTTACCAGCTCTATTACCAAAGATACCCCACCGACTCAAGTATGGTCAAAAATAAAGAGAATGAAAGGACATTACACATCATACAAAATTCCAGCTCTCACCATTCAGGACAAAATAATTACAGATGACCAACAAATCAGTGATATGCTTTCCCAACATTTTCTCAATAAATCAAATAATTCTACTAATCCACATAACGAAATTGATGCTACTCAAAAAACGTACAATACTAATCATCCCATTAATATACCTTTCAGTTTCCAAGAACTAAATGATGCCCTTGTTTCAACAAAAAGCTCAGCTGCAGGTCCTGACGATATTCCCTCTATCTTTTTAAAAAACCTTCACCAAAATACATACGAGAAAATACTCCAACTGTTCAACAAAATTTGGTCTTCTCAAAAATTCCCGTCACTATGGAAACAATCCCTAGTCATTCCTATCAAAAAAGGCGATCAATCCCTAGACACGCTGAACTCATACAGGCCAATCTCTCTCACCTGTACATTATGTAAACTTTTGGAAAAAATGGTTAATAAAAGATTACTTTGGTACCTCGAACAAAATAAAATCCTCGACCAATTTCAATCAGGCTTCAGACCAAATCGATGCACCTTGGACAATCTTGTACTTCTGCAATCAACAATTGCGACTGCGCTATCTAACAAAAATGAAGTCATTGCAATTTCCCTTGACATCGAAAGCGCTTTTGACTCTATACCGATTTCTGTGATACTAAACAAACTAAGCCAGAACAAGCTATCCGGTAATATATATTCGTTTATAAAAAATTTTCTCACAGACCGATCCTTTAAAGTAATTACTAATGGCAAAACTTCCTCCCAGCACACAACCACAAACGGTGTCCCACAAGGGTGTGTTCTAAGCAGTACACTATTTCTCCTTAGTATTAACGATTTTAGCTCATTTATAAACGACCCTGTGCAATACGGAATATATGCCGACGACATAATATTATTTTGTCATGGAAAGGTCACTTCCAGCACAAATGCTTTACTACAAAATACGCTAAGTAAAATAAACAACTGGGCCAGTCAATCCGGCCTAAACTTTTCCTCATCTAAATCCAAAGTTATTCATTTTACTAGAAGACAAAACACGCAATCTCCAACCATTACTCTGAATGGAAATTTTCTCCAAGTAGTAGACCAAATAAAGCTTCTCGGCATTATTTTCGATAAAAAACTTTCCTGGAGACCACACATTCGAGAACTTAAGGGTAGCTGCCTACAAAGAATGAATCTCCTTAAATCACTAGCCCATTATAGTTGGGGAGCCGATGAGGAAACACTACTAAAAATATATCGAGCTCTTATTCGCTCCAAACTTGACTATGGTAGTGTTCTCTACATGTCATCAAGTAAATCACTACTACGTTCACTTAATGTCGTCCACAATACTTCCCTTCGACTTTGTTTAGGAGCATTCCGATCCAGTCCGGTGGAAAGTATTCATGTAGAATGTTTCGAACCTTCGCTTCATCTAAGACGACAACAACTTCTACTGCTCTATTTCGCTAGAGTTTCAGCAAATCCCACAAATCCCACAAGAAACCTCATCTGTAATAGACAATTACCAGCTACTAATAATCCTAGAATGGTACCGTCCACTATACAGATGCTACTTCCTTATTTAGATATAAATCTGTTGTCGACCAGCCCTTTCACGGTCCCTCAAACCCCTCCATGGATATGTAAACTTCCAAATTTTAATATCGAATTATCCAAATATAATAAGAATGAAATATCACCTTCCATTATCAAACAAAGATTCTATGAAATATTACTTCAATGCAACTTCGATAAGATCCTTTACTCAGACGCATCTAAGACTGAAGAAGGTGTTGGTTGTGCTGTTACAACGACTACAACCACCGTCAGCTTGTTTCGACTCTCCAGCAATTGCAGTATTTATACTGCTGAACTATATGGAATACTACAGGCGGTGAAATCTCCACTCAATGATGTAAAAACCATAGCAATCTGTACAGACTCTCTGTCCTCCATGCAGTCCATAAGAAACGTACATTCTATCCACCCAATAGTTCAAGAAATCCAGAGCATATGTAATCGTCTTCAAACTAATGGAGTAGCAGTAACGATATTGTGGGTCCCATCACACGTTGGTATTCCAGGTAACGAAAAAGCCGATCAAGCAGCAAAACAAGCATGTTCTCTTAACGTTACAACAGACATTCAAACATCATTAGATCTAAAAAGAACAATCAAACATAAAATAATGGACCTTTGGAATGATCAATGGAAAAAAAAGCAATACCAAGTTAAGCGTTCTACAACCAAACATTTTCTACCACAAGCTCTCACCAATGAAAAGAAAGGACAAATCAATCATTCGAAGATTGAGAATAGGACACACACGCCTTACACATGGACACCTAATGAATTCCAGTAATCCGATTTTGTGCCAGTATTGCAACACCACGACTTCCGTAGCACATGTACTTCTTGACTGTCAACACTACCTAGCGGCCAGAAGAAAATTTAATCTTGGTAACAACCTAAAAGACATTCTTACTTCAAACGACAGTAACTACGAAAATATATTAAACTTTTTAAAAAACACAAAGTTATACAATTTAATTTAAAACAAAATGTATTAAAAAAGTGTATTGTAACTAATTTGTACTGCATGTAAAATATTAACCATGTAAATATAAATGTAAATTGTACCTGTGTCAATGACCATTAGCTGTCGAGACACATATGTTCGAAATAAAAAAAAAAAAATATATAAGTACATCTCTTCATTATTAAATTTTGTGATTTTGTGATTTTGAATATTATTTTCGTAAAGAAACGTTGAGATTAATATCTTACCGTTTTCGAGACTTTCTCCCAGGTCTTCTTCAGCCTAAATATCGACGTATTGGTAAACGCTGAGCATATCTGTAGAACTCCATTGAAGTTGTGAAGACATCTAGCGATGTCCGCCACTGCTGCCCATTTCTCAATGGTAGATACTCTTGCAGCAATCGACTTGCGTCTTAAGATCTCTGAAGCCACCAGTCTAGAGACGTCGTTGAAGCGTTTAGTCATCATAAGGATGTGGGGGGCTCGCTTTTCCTTGTCGAGCTTCATCCAAGCTTGCCCCAGGAGTTCTCTAAAATTAATACCATCTATACTTTTAAAGTAACTAATTAATATAACTATGATTACACAAGCTTTAGATAAATGAACAGATTTCTGGTAATATACATCTTAGACAGTGCTATATTCTGAGAGCAAAGATCAATAGACCTTAATCAGTGGAAAAATAATGATACCTTGATATGATATGATCAAAGAGATGTTCTATAACTTATTTTTATAGATCAAAAAGAGTTCCACTGTGTAATATGAATACTAGTAAAGTATATTTCACGAATTTGTGGCTATTTTGGATTAGTCATGAAACCTTTAACTTAAACGGTCTGCTGTACTATTATTATTATTACATAGTAATAAGGGCTGGTAATTAGGGCAAAGGAGGTCTTCATAATCACCCTAACGCTTTAGAATTTAAATATCGTTTACGATCATACATTCTTGGCAGGAATGAGGGATCACTTTCAAGCTTCAGAAATGTGGAAGAAGATATTACTCCTGATGTTCCTATGGAAGATGTGCAAAATATTTTGCAGTTTTTGAATTTTCTAATTTTTTTAGGCGCTGCTCACTCTTTTTTTACCTTTCAACCATCGATATGTTTTGACGTCGACTACAAATATTTCTCCGGTTTTGCAAATAGAACATAATAAATACATTGTTATTTAAAGCTAATAAAAACTGTTTTATAAAATGTTTTCTATTTTTATTTAACCCAAATCCTATTAAATTTTGGCAAGGAAGTAAGTATTTAGTTTATGTTGAAATTTAGTCGTTTTTTAAGTCCACATAAGCTATGGATAGATAAGAGACCTAGAATAAATCACCCAAGAATCATAGCTATAACCTGTTATGCACAAGTTCCAGTGCAAACAAGAAAGAAAATGGACAAAAAGCCAATCCGAAGATTATTTGATTAGTTATGACGGAGGAGATACAGAAAAGATTTTTTTGATTGTCAGGAATCAGTTTAATTGCATCTTTACGATAATACCTCATTATGTATCCCAGAATTGTTATGTATTTAAAAGTGACAATGATTATATCGATATTTTTCAATAAGAACAAAATGAAATTGAGATAATGAAATAATCTCGCAGAGTGAGGAATATTAAACCTAAGAAATCGTAATCAAACTTAAAAGTATTGACACAAATTTACACTGAAGAACAAGTTGCAGATGTAATGACCAAACTTCTAATGAAAATAAGAAATCAGATATTTCTTTCAAAGACGGGACTGTAGATGCGAAAAACTTTTTAATAAGGAAAAATGTTGAAATTTAGTGTTAATAAGGTTTTTCTCATTGTATTAAATAATCTCATAGTTGGTGTGACATAATAATTTTAATAAAAACGACACTATTTAAAGTTCACATTTGCCTATTTTATCTTTAATAAATCCATAATTCCAAAATTTAACATAAATAATCCGTAAGATTCCAGTCTTCATGTTATCGGTTGTTTTAAATTGGGCGCCATTAATAGTCACCTCTTGACGTCATGCGCGGAACAGAACGAATTTGAAACACTTTGGTATCATATCTTTATATTATAGTTTCATGACAGTGATTGATATTACCCCGCGGTCAATATTCCTCTACCATTAATTAGGCTTATGTTAATCTCTCAGAGGTCACTGATTTGAACCACAATAAATTCTAGGTAATAACTAATCTGGTTGTAACAAATATTTTGCTGGCAAATTAAAATAAAAATATGTTTCAAAAATATTAATTTTGTCATAACCTTTCTCATAACACGGAACTTGAAATGTTGAGCAAAAATTTCTAGGCAAATAAACATTTCCGCGTAAAATGTGCAGTGTACATGAGTTATGTCAAACGGATTTACTGTAAATAAATTCTTATTAATATTGTAAAAAAAGATTATAAAGGATTTTTTTAATTCGACTTATAAGTTCCTTGTTTCAAATTTGTATTACTAGAGCAATTTAGTTTCGTATTTCTTATGCTATGCAGTAGAGTGGACCATTGGCTGTCAAGTGTCTAGCGATAATCCAAAACAGGCGCAAATGGGTGAAATAGGGTATAGTAAGGTTTTATATACTTACTCGCTTGAAATATTTATAAATATTTGATGATCAATACAGGTGAGTTGTTCTGCTATTTCTAAAGCTGACAATGTCTCAATAGACTCTTTACTGGCTACCTGCAAATAGATTCTTAAGTGTACATTACTATTTAGGAGTACATATATACGGTGTTCCAATTAAAACTTTACTTGTAATTACTACGGTTTAAATATTTATTTACTGTAGATGTTATTGAACAACCTATAAGTTTCCAAAATTTGAAAAATCACGCTTATAAATGTACAGGGTGTTTCAAAAAAAGGTAACCCCGTCTCTAGGGTAGGTAAAAAACTAAAAAATAATTGGGGTTTGCTTAGTAAAAAATTTTTGTAACGCCATCCGTTTTCAAGATACAGGGCGTTGAAGGAAAAAAAATTGACGCATTTTTTACGATTTTGCCGAAATTACTGGCAACATTGTAATGAAATTTTATACGAATATGTTTTGGAAGCTGATACATCCCATGAATTTGTTTTTATATCTGATTTTTGAGGAGTATAATTATTAATCAAACTTTCAAGTAAACTTAAACATCATTCAGTTTTACACGAAAAAGGTACACTAGGTAAAACTCGATACTGTGTACCGTTTTCGGAATATTTTGATTTGAAAATTATGCAGTAATAATTGGGTATGTTTTGGTTTATTTCCTGTAATAAGAAAAATAATAATGTGCAAAGATCAGGCGGAGTGACTATATGTTACAGAAATGTATCATAACCATATGATATATGAATATTTACCGGTGAAGGAATAAGCAAACGTTGCACATCCACTTTGTTACTCTTCGATTCCTCTTTGACAAGCAACCTTAACAATTGAACAGCAGCTTTATGCTCAGCCGGCAACAAATTTGGACTATAAATAATATCTTCCAAAAACTCAACCGTTAAATTTTTCAAACATTGATCGTTTTCGAAATCTTGAGCATGCTTGGAGATCCAGTGTCTTAGTACATTCAGTACGCGCATAGTACATGCTGTAGAGGTGACCGATTCCTTGTGCCGGACTCTTTCTGCCTGGTACTCCTCTTGCTCTCTGCACGGAGAAACATCGCGAGGGTTACTGGATCCGGAAGTGGCAATGGCAAAAGCTGCTGCTGCTGTTGATGTACTGCTTCTGAAATAAAATGATATATTAAATAATAATATACTAAAAGCTGAAACATACAAATGAAAATTTTACAAACCAATAGTAATTCATGTTTCAGAAATTCAGAAATAATCGTCTTTGCTGCAATATAATTACCACTAAAATCTTATTCTTTTTCTTCTTAAAGTGCCCTCTTCTCAATGGAGGTTGGCTACTACAATAAACTCTTCTCTATCTTCAGCTGTTCTTATTAGCTGTTCAAAATTTAGCCCTGTCCATTGTCGGATGTTTATGAGCCACGATAGTCTTTTCCTTCCTAGGCCTCTCTTTCCCTCGATTTTTTCTTTCACTATAAGTTGGGCATATTCGTACTTATTATTTCTTAGTATGTGGCCTAGGTATGATGTTTTTCTAACTTTTACTGTGTTAAAAAGTTCTCTTTCCTTGCCTATTCTATGCAGCACTTCTTCGTTTGAGGTATGCGATGTCCATGAAATTTTGAGTATTCTCCGGTAGATCCACATTTCAAAGGCCTCCAATTTATTTACGGTTGATGTTTTAAGGGTCTACGTTTCAACTGCATATAGAAGAGTCGACCAGACGTATCATTTTGATAAACGTAGTCGAATTGCGAGTTTTATTCGAGAATCACAAAGCAGTTTTTTTATTTTTTCGAAAGATTTTCTGGCCTGTTCTATTCTCGATCTTATTTCTTGATCAGGATTTAGGCTGCTATCGATCCAACATCCCAGGTACTTAAATCTATTAACCTGTTCTAAAATGTGCCCATTTATTGTGCAAGGTTGAGGTACGTTTTGGTTTTTTCGGATTGACATCACTTTGGTTTTTTTAATGTTTATTTTCATACCAAATTGCTCACACGTCGAGTTGGTCTTGTCGATGAGTCGTTGTAGACCTGAGTCGGAATCCGCAATTAACACTGTATCATCGGCGTATCTGATACTGTTGATATTTACGCCATTCACATTGACTACATCCTTGGAATCCTCCAATGCTTCTTTAAATAGAAACTCGGAGTAAAGATTAAACAGCAGAGGCGACAGAACACATCCTTGTCTAACTCCCCTCCTAATTTCTACTTCTGCGGATGTGGAACCTTCGATCCTAACTCTGGCGTTTTGGTTCCAGTACAAGTTTTTTAAGAATTTGATGTCTTTTCCATCTAAACCGACTTCTTGCAAACGTTCTAATAGTAGGTCGTGTCTTACTCTATCAAATGCTTTTTCGAAGTCTATAAAGTATATAAATATATCTTTCTGTTGGTCGTAGCATTTTTGGGCGAGAACTAGTAAACTGAACAGGGCTTCTCTCGTTCCCATGCCGGCTCTGAATCCAAACTGATCGTCTCCGATGATTGTTTCGCACTTTCTATAGATACGATTATGTACGATTTTTAGTAGGACTTTTACTGCATGACTCATAAGGCTTATCAGATGGAACTCATTGCAGTGTTGTGGGTTTGGCTTTTTTGGTAATGGGATGAATATTGACTCCAGCCAATCTTGGGGTATTTTACCTGTATCATAAATGCGATTGAATAAAAGGACAAATATTTCGATATTTTCTTCGCTGATTAATTTGAACGTTTCTGGGTATATTCCGTCTGGACTTTGTTTTGAGATGATTAATTGCATTTATGATTTCAGATTTCAGAATTGTTGGCCCTTTGTTGTTATTTTCCAATCTTAATTCTTCTCGTATGTCGTGAAAAAGAATTTTAATATAGTTTTCCCATTCTTTCAGTTTATTTTTCGTTAATTCTAGCAGTTTGTCATCCGTGTTCAGCGTGGTGTGAAAAGTCGTTCTCTTGGTAGTCGATGTAAACTCTTTTACCTTTTTATGTAAATTAAAAAAATCGTGCCTTTGTTGCAGTTCTTCTATTTTAACGCATTTTGTTTTCAGCCATTTCTCTTTTGCTTCGGTTATTTTTTTTCGAATTATTCTATTTAGTCTTTTGTATTCTCCGTCCTTGTCATTTTTTCTTTTAGATTCTCTTCGTTTGTTCATTAATTGTAAATTCTCTTCTGTCATCCATTCCTGTTTGTTATTTCTAGGTGTTACTTTTAGATGTTTTTCCGTTACATTGTTCATTTGTTCTTTAATAGTTTTCCACAGAACGTTTATGTCATCGTACTCTCTAATTCTATCGTGGTCGATATTTCCTAAATTTTTGTTTAATTCTTTATTTACTGTCTGATGTATGGTGTCGTTTTTCAATAATTGGACGTCTAATAGTTGGTGTTGAGGTTTTTGTTTCTTTATTAGTTTCCATCTTGCGCGAACTTTTGCAACAACAGGATTATGATCGGAATTGATGTCAGCTCCAGGATATGTTTTTGCACTGATGATTGCATTGTGATATCTTTTGTAAAATCTTATTAATAAAGTAATAAAGAAAATAGAATAATCAAATATATGAAATGTATCAAATTAAAAAAAATTGGAACATACAGAAATTAAAGCACAGGATGACATGTACTTAGATGGAAGAAAAACAATTACTTAATAGTAATAATATTTAGATATCACTAGATAAAAATGGAATAGATATATAGAAGACGCGACATAAAGAAAACATAGAAAAATACAAAATAAAGACGGAAGTAAAGAACATATAAAAGAAGGTAAAGGATAAGAAAACAACCTCAGTTTCATTATGGTCCCTTACCTTCGTTTCGATTTTCGAAAAGATGTGATTACAACACCAGCGCGGCTTGGCCTTGAAGGAGAATCCTGCTGGAAGCTTGATCTGGCTGTTGGCACGTCTTTTTCCGTTCCTGGTTGATTCATTCCATAGTAGCTTTGAAAAAACGACTGCAAAATAAAATATTTAATGTTACTAGTTCGTTTATTTACTTATTAGTACGTTTGAAGGGAATCCTCTGTAAACGGCCCATAGTCGATGCTATTTGTTGTACTATCGATCATACAATAAGTTGCACGATAAATCATAAATACAGATCTTAGAGTGTTTTGCCCTAAGCGATCGGTTGTACAACTAATTTAGTTTGTTGTTCATAATCACACTAACCGTTTCGATAAAAGGTAACCAGCTTCTGTAGTAGTCGCATTATTTTCGAATGAAAATAACAAGACGAAAAAGAAAAAAACTGTAGTGTAAGAAACGGCAACAGAAAAGACATGTTTATGATAGTTAGTAGATAGACGTGTTAGTGATACTGCCCATTATGTTCATGGGTACAACAATACAGGAGCTTAAAAACCAAATATATACTTTCACATTTTATTTTAATATATATTATTGATATTGCAAGGTATATGCATTTATGAATAACATGAGAAATATGCATCATATATATGCATATGCATTTTGCATATAATTCAGTATCTAGTTATTATAAATATGACATACAAGTATATTGTTACGATAAATATAAAATAAGATGAAATAAAGAAGATAAAGAAGAAGAAAGACGGAACGAAGAGGTTCTGTGTGGATTACCGTTTGCTGAACAACGTTACTAAGAAAGATAGTTATCCTCTGCCTCGGATCGAGGACACATTGGACACATTGGCTGGAGGTAAATTGTTTTCTATTTTGGATTTGAAGTCTGGATACTTTCACGTAGAAATGGACCCAGTAGATAAAGAAAAGACAGCCTTCACCACAGGATCTGGATTGTGGCAATTAAACGTTATGCCATTCGGATTATGGATTTGTAATGCTCCTGCGACATTTGAGAGGCTTATTGAAAATGTGTTGAGAGTGTTATCTTGGAAAACATGCCTGGTTTATCTAGATGACATAACCGTCTTAGGGAGACACTTGAAGACCGTCTGAAGAATTTAGAAAACGTTTTTAATCGACTTAAAGCTTCCCAATTGACGTTTTCAAGGTAATACCAATTATCTGGGTTATATAATCAGTAAAGAAGGAGTGGCCGTGGATAAGGGTAAAATCGATTCCATTAAGGAATGGCCAACCAACTGACAAACATCAAGTGAGAAGTTTTCTTATTACCGGTAGTATGTACTTACTACCGGAGGTTTATTAAGAAGTTTGCAGATATCGCTAAGCCATTAACGCGATTTACAGAGGAAGCAAGAGATTACCGCTGGGATACAGACTGCCAAAATGCCTTTGAGACCTTGAAAAAGCATTTAATCACAGCACCAATTTAGGGTATCCACTGCCAGAAGGAGAATTCATCTTAAATACAGATGCAAGTGATGTTGGAATTGGAGCAGTGCTATCTCAGATTCAAGGTGAACAGGAACGAGTTCTTGGAGATTTTATTAAAGTTCTTTCAAAACCTGAGCGGAAATATTGCATCACGAGAAGAGAACCTCTAGCAGTAGTGAAATCAGTAGAGCACTTCTATCAGTACTGTCATGAGACTGAATAGCTAATAATAATAGTCTCCCGTTTTATACCGCACGCGGCTTTGGGAGTATAGCAGGGTAGTCTGCTATATCTAGGGCCTACGGTATACAAGGAAGGTAACATGGCCAGTGCTACGCTTCAACCGCCTATTATTACCCCTGGTTTTACCCAAGGTACTCATTTTATTCAGGCTGAGTCGACCTGGGGCCTATAGACATTTTTAAAAATGCCTAGTTGTTCTTGCCGGCGGTAGGATTCGAACTCACGACCACCGGCATGCGAGGCAAGCACACTACCGCTTGCGCTACGCAGGCCCAACGACTGAATAGCTCATGAATGTAAAGTCCTGACAGGACTATGACATGGGACAGGCGGCACATAGTCTCATGGCAGACATAGAGGTTAGGCACTTTAGGTTAAGTTATGATGACACTGTATTACTGAAATTTATAAAAATAAAGATGTATAACAGTCCGTATTAAACATTAATAAAAATACCTCTATGGAAGAAAGATTATTAAAGAAGTGGTTGATACAGTTTAAGAATCCAGAGGGTCAGATAGCCAGAGAAAGATCGAACGACTCCAAGAATACGATTTCAAGATTGAGCACCGGGCCGGAGTTAGCTACAGAAACGCTGATTCTCTTTCCAGAAGGCCATGCCCAGCAGAGTATTCCCACTGTAATAAAACGAAATTCAAGGAAGCAGCGGTGCTAAGAACAACGATGGTCAACGACGACTAGGCGCCTACTAAGATAAGGGAAGAACAAGAGAGAGATCCAGTTGTATAAAAAATTCGAAAATGGAAAGAAGAAAACTGTCGACCACCTTGGCAAGAAATATCAAACCTATGCTCAGTAGTTAAGATGTATTGGACGCAGTGGAACTAATTTATTATGGAAGATAGCTTGCTCAAACGAGTACTGGAAAATGATGAAGGTTCAGAGAAGAGAAGACAGTTGGTGATCCCAAAGAGCAGAATAGCCGAAGTCAGTTACACGAAAGTCCATCAGGAGGGCATTTCGGGGTAAACAAAATCCTACGAGACAAACAAAACAAACGGGGTAAACAAAATCCCAAAAAAGGAGAGCTCCTACGAGACAATATAATGTTGGAAGCCCGTTTAAAAGAATAGCTTTGGACATTGCTGAGTCATTTCCAGAAAGTGAAAATGGAGGCAAGTACATGTTGGTAGTAATGGATTACTTCACTAAGCGGGTCGAAATTTACGCACTTCCAGATCAGAAGGCCGCCACCATTGCAGATAAGTTGATACAAGAATATATCAGCCGATTTGGAGTGCCTTTGGAGATTCATAGTGACCAAGGAAGGAACTTCGAAGGCGATCTATTCCAAGGAATATGTGATAGACTAGGCATGAAGAAAACAAGAACTACAGCATATCATCCGCAACCGGATGGTATGTTAGAACGGAAGAATAGGACAGTTGGCAAGTATTTGACAACCGTCCCTTGTCATTTTTATAGAATTGGAAGTTGTAAAAGAGGGTCCAGTTGCCGTTACCAGCATACCGTTCCATTTCCAGTCCCGACAAGGTTCTAGGAGGAACCATCTTTTAATAGGGGGGAAATGTTACGATAAAATATGACTCATAACTGTAAACATATTATTTCTAATTATATTTCATTCAAGTCTTTTCTAGATTCTCCGACCCACTAAAAACCTGTCTGGTGTTCCAAAAACAAGTTAGTCCGAAAATATAATTGTATCGAGTTTAAATTGTAACGCGGAAATAAATAGGGTGAACTAGGTAGTTCACCCTTGAAGGGTAAATTAGTTTAATATTGGATACATAAATTAATAAAGACTTTAATAAACTTGTAAGTGTTGTAAAAGTGTGGAACCCTTTTATAATAAATAAAGACAATAAATTAGGTTTATAATAATAGTACAATATTATAAATTATGAAAACATTACTACCTGCATAACTCCTGTTGAAGTAGAAATACTCGCTGATCTTGAAGAACTACATGAGGCATGATGGCTATGACTATAAAAATGATGCTCATCTGATTGATCCTCTGATTCCACTGAAACTCCTCTTTGTATTACCTTAGCCTTGTCATTCGATTCCTGCTTCATTTTTACTGAAGGTTTTTTTGGGTGCTCAGTTCTTTTTTGATCTTTGGTAGGAGACAGAAGTGTTTGAATGGCAGACTTAGTAGGGGACTTAACCATTGAAACTTTCACACTTGTGGTGGGTACGGTTTTTGTAGAAGTGGTTGCTTTACTTGGATATGCTTTTTGTGCAGTCTTTTCAGATGAGTCTTTATGTGGAGATATGGCTGGGGAGAGAGTAATATCTTGACGGTTACTATCTGAGGGTGATAAACCGACTAAAGTTACTGAGCTGAGATTACTAGGGGAATTTGGCGCGTTAAGGACGGTTACATCTAAAAACAAAAGTGAGCAAATCAAATTTTGATAAATTAAAAAAAAATCGTGTTACCAGTTAAGGTATCACTGCTGCTGGAGGCCGCTACTTTGGAGATCGTTAAAAATTTATTTTTTTCTTCAACTTTTGCTGATTCCACTTTTATAGAAACATATTTGTTTCCAGGATATGGCAAACTGTCTCCGGTTTTGGTAGGACTGGATTTGAGCACTTTGGGACTCTCCGCTTCTTGTCCCTCTTCTCTGTCTAAAATAATTTTTTTTATTTAATTACCAAAATGAAACAAAACTTAAATGTTCTGAATGCGTTGGCTATATAACGTGCTATGTTTTAGTAATCTTAACTACATTATATAGAAATCAAGGAAATTTCATTTCTACTCACACATTTGCAACGTTGCTTTCCAAACTTTATGCCCTTGGGAGTCATAGCTGTGAGACCTGTCCCTATCGCTCATTTCAGAACCATATCCAGACACAGAACTAGCACCACTGGTTCTTCTTGGTGAAAAACTACTCCGTCTTCTTCCTTCGTCAAAAGTCTGCAAAGTGTTCTCATCTTTAGTTTGTAGTCCATCTAGAGAAACTTCAAGGCAGTCTTCAATGCTATAGAAAACTTTTTTAAGGGCTTCCAGGACTGTTACGCCGTCAGTGAATACTCTGTAAGTTAGCAGGAAAGTGTTAAGGAAGTCGATAGAGAGGAATCTCAAGTCTGGAACAAAAGTATTTAAATTAATAAAGTCCTGGACAACATTAGTACTGCGTCTTCCCTGACAAAATATATTTAAATAAAAATTTAATTTGTTTATTTACCTGTTAGTCTTTGTAGCAATCGTTCAGGTGTGGCATACCGAATTTGTGGTACCTTACAAGAATTCAATGTACGACTGAACCTAATATCAACTTCATTTTTAAACAATTTCGGATCATCTTTGAGGGATTGTGGAAGGCTTATGGAACTGCTGTCTGGCATTGTTGGTCCCATAATATCGCTAAACTGTACGTTGTCCAGACACTGGGTGATATCAGATATCCAGGCAGTCTTTTCTTGCATTGTTGATGCTAACAAATGGACGCACACCTACAGAAAATATGTTTACAAGAATGAGAGAGATTTTCAGGAAAACTTTACTTACCTGACTGGATTGTGTCATACTCTTTGTTTCTATGATGATCTTAAAATCCCTGTTGTGATATGCATTTGTGCTGGTTGAAGCTTCACTTGTAGTCGATTGACTAGATACTAAAGACATCAGAAATTTATGTTCAAACAATAATTCTAGCAAAAAGAATTTCAAAGTTAATGCTGTCATTTAACTTTAACAACAACCCAAATTTGCTCTTTAATTATCAAAAAAGATAAATAAATCAGTAGCAATATAAGCAATAATTTATTGATTACCGTAATATATCAAAAATATTACTCACCATCCTCTTCAGGATTTTCTGAGGGATCTTCTATTAAACGAGCATCAGCTAGCGTAATTTTTCCAACGCCAGAAACTAAATGAAGTTTTCCACTTAATGTTCTAAAACATAAAAAGAAGAAGGTCACTAATACATAAATCAATTAAAAATTAAAATCACATTCAGAGTATTATAAATAGTTAGTGAACTTACAATTTACAATTACTAATGAATATCATGTTTTTATAAAAAGTACTTCTTGTGTGATATTTAAAACACCCTATAATAGATACACACTTACCTAGTAGCTATAATAAGATGATTTGAAAACAAAAAACACTGCCTTACGATTTCTTTGTCAATTTTAAAAGGAAGTTTACTTTTTGGGTTTTTGTCTTTTCACTTGGAAGCTGAATAAGAGATCCTTGCCGTACAAACACCTGGTTAACATCCAGTAAGATGTCACAGCCTTCCACTATCATTCTTTCAATTGCTAAGTTTTTGCGAAGGTTTTCAGTTTCTGATACCTATAATATATTGTCATAATTATCATCATAAAAACATATTTAGTATCGTGAAATTCATTACTATCTTAACTATCATCAATTTTTTATCTAACGTTTAAGTCCTTCACAAATATATCTCCAATGGAGAATAAAGAAGGAAATGGAAAGAAAATACAAATTAAGAATATTCCGAACTAGAGAATATTTCTAAATAAGGATGTAACGAATGAAGAAACAATAATTCAAAAATAACGTAAAAGATTTACTAAAATAGGGATAAAAGGATACAGTAAAATCACTATGGACGGGGAAGAATTGAGATCCAACAAAATAAGAGAAAACTCTAAAAAGACAAATATAATTAGGAAATTGATCGAACTAAAAGAAATAATAACAGACATAGCAGACGAGTGTTTGGTCGAAGAGAAGAATATAAAAATAAGAAAAAATGATTTTGTCAGGAGTGTGAAAATGCCTTAATCAAGAAAAATCAGAATGATATGAAATTATTATTTATGGCTCAGCATAAAATAGATTGGAAAGAATATAAAAAGACAAAAAACAGTGAAAATTTGATAACAAGAGAAAAAAGAACAACTGGCTTATTAAAAAACTAAAAGAGGTAGAGCAAGGTGGATGTATTCATAAATTATATAAGGCATTTGATAGAGTAAGTCATGACCAACTTATGACAGTTCTGAAACAAACAAAAGCAAATAGGCAAGCGAGATATAAGAATAATAGAAAACTTTATGGCCAAAATATTCGAAATGTGTATGAATACAATATCTTGGAACTTTAATAAATGCGAATAATGATTTTGCAAAGGAACTTACAGCCAGAATTGAAATTGCACGTAACTCATTTAGAAAAATGAAACATTTTTTACAACAGAACTTTAAAGCGAACAAAATTCGAATATTTGGGTCACCTAACGTGAGAATAAAAATATGCATTACTTTAAAATATAATACGAGGAAAAATAGAAGAAAAAGGGATCCAGGCCGTAAAGAAATATCATGGTTGTGAAATTTGTAAGAGTAGTTTGGCTGCACCACTAATCAGCTGCAAATAAGATCAGGATAGAATTGATTATTCCCAATCTCCGATAAAATTAGCACAAAAAGAAGACGAAAACATCAGCGAACAACAGAAGATCAAGGAAAAGATGATGGGACTAGATACAAGAAGACATAAAAATAATGAAAATAATAGACTGGAAGACAAAATATAGAAACAAAAAGGATTCTAAACACATAACTAAAGTTGCAAGAAAACATGTAAAATTATGAAAAATAAATATACCTATTTAAGATGGCTAATGCACATTTTTCACAAATTTTAATATCCTTATGCAAAAATAATATTTCAACTGTGAGTCCTTAAAACACTTACCTCATCATGCATCTGTCTTGATAAATCTTCTAGTTGTTGTCTGGCGTTTTGCAAACTTTTTCTTTCAACATGGTCGTGTGGGGTATGTGCTAATAATTCATGTAAAGTAATTATATACCGGGGTACCTAAAATATGCGTTAAAATATATAACAATCCTAAGGAAAATTTATAAAAATTTCAATTCACTGGATCAAATTCAATTTAATTAAGAAAGAAGTAACTTTTATGCGACCCTATATAAGGTTTAATTCTGAATCTTTCATTTATATATTCAAACATTAGTTTATCTTAAACATTTTAATTTCAAACGGAAACACGTATTATGAGTATTTATTTTTATGCCTTAATTGCTCTAAAATTACTATTAATTACTTCTCTTTAATCGTTTTCTTTATAGGACTTAATATTTAAATTAAAAAATCCAGTCACTCGCTAAGAGGACATTATAAGATCGAATTTGTCAGTGAAGGGATTTGTTTTACCGGCAAAAACCACACATGCGTGAGAATTGAGAAGATTTAGGAACGACGTATTGAAAAAACAGATTGAATTTAAAAGCCTACCACCGTTACCGGCTTTTTTTGACTTTTGTTTATTTTTGAGAATTTTTTGGAGAATAAAAGTTTTTTTGGGCAGAAGTGTTAGTGATAATATGGTTATGGCTGCAGTTATATACAAGGCAAATCAAAAGTCAAGATTAATTTTGTGCAGAATTGGTCGGTTTTGTTTGTATTGGGTGTAGCTAAACAAGCCCACAAGTCAAAGAGATAGACACATATATGGGAGGTAGAAAATGCTTAGAGACGTGGAAATTCCTGACAAAAGTTAATCAAATAAGAAAAGAGAAACAAACATACAATTAATAACAACAGAGAACTAATCAAATGCGGCACTAACAAACTGTTTGAACGATTAACGTGGTGTATAAACCAATATCTAAACGGTGCATCAGTCTCGCATGAGTGGAAAGTACCCTTCATATCATCTATACATAAGAAGGGAAGTAAACTGGACTGCTCAAACTATCGAGGTATATCAGTAACCAGTACCTTAAGTCGCCTATATGGAAGGATACTTCGAGACATCATCAAACAAGAATATACGGAACAAGAAGAAGAGGAACAATCTGGCTTTAGAGCGGGAAGGAGCTGCACCGATAATGTGTTTGTTTTGAAACAAATAATAGAAAAAAGATCAAGTACCAACCAAGAAACCCACCTTATGTTTATAGACCTTCAGAAGGCCTATGATACTGTACCCGCTAAAAAGCTATGGAAAGTTTTGCAGGAAACAAACATTAACCACACAGTAATTAACCTCCTTAAACAGCTTTATGAAGGATCAACGTCGGGAATAAAAATTGGAAATAGACTTTCAAAAAAATTTCCTGTAAACAAGGGACTCCGCCAGGGGTGTTGCATATCCCCCACATTGTTTAAAATCTACGTGGCGAAAGCACTGTATCAGTGGTAGAGAAAGTGCAGAGGAATGGGCATTGACCTGTTAGAAACTTGCCTAAATACCCTACAGTTTGCAGACGATCAAGTCCTTATAGCCAACGATAAAGAAGACCTGACATATATGGCCAGAAAACTACAGGAAGAATATAAAAAGTGGGATTTAGAACTCAATACACAAAAAACAAAATATCTCCCAATACCTCTCCCACACAATACCTTCCAGACAATAAGCAAATTACAAAACGAATAACCCAGGCCCGTAGAACAATTGGATGCCTTAACGGAGTTCTTTGGAGCTCAGAAATTGGTAAAAGACGAAAATACAATATATATGAATCTCTCATAAAAACCAGCTTAACCTATGGTACAGAGACATGGAGACTAACAGAAAGCAATAAAAGAAAACTCGAAGCAACAGAAATGGATGTATTTAGACGATCACTTCGAATATCTGGGGCAGACAGAATTAGAAACGATGAAATAAGGAATCGGATGGGGGTAGATGGATCACTGGCAACAGACATAGAAAGGAAACAACTTATATGGTATGGCCATGTTCAAAGAATGCCAGAAACAAGACTACCAAAAATCGCCATGAAATGGATACAAAGAGTTTCCTCCTATCTGGAAGAACAGTTATATTGTACCCATTTTTAAGTCAGGTAAAAGGAAATATATTGGAAAATACTGAGGAATTTGTATACAGTCAGTAATCCCAAAACTTCTCGACAAACTGGTGACTTCTCACTTATCAAAACTAACAAATAATATAATAATAACCCAGCAGCATGGCTTTCAAAGAGGGAGGAGCACAGTTTCAAACTTGATGGTCTACCAAGATGATATATTGTGTGCCTTTAAGAGGAAGTACCAGGTGGACAGCATCTATACTGACTTCTCAAAGGCATTCGGTAAAGTAAATCATCGTTGTTTAATCAGTAAAATAGGAGCCATTGGTATAGCTGGCAAATGGCTTGATTGGTATGATAGTTTTCTTATGGGTAACAACCAGAACATTAAGATAAATGGTGTGTTGTCTCAATCTGTTGACGTCCTCTCTGGAGTACCACAGGGGTCACATTGTGGTCCTCTTCTTTTTGTCCTCTTTGTTAACGATGTTGAGAAAGTCATTAAGTATTCAACATTTCTTAACTTTGCTGATGATAAAAAAAGTCAGTATGTCAGTATGATCAAATTCAGCTACAAGAGGACTCAGCCAATTTAGCGATTGGTGCAAACTAAATGAATTAAAATTGAACATTGATACGTATTGTGTTATTACTTTTCTCAGAAAACAAACAATTTTAAATTACGATTATAGCATTGGTAACACTCAGCTGTCTAGACAGGACTGTGTTAAGGATTTAGGTATTTATTTTGATTGTAAATTAGCATTTCGTAAGCATCTAGAGGTCACAGTAAACAGTGCTTTTAAACAATTACCCTCTTATTAATAAACACGGACTAACCTTGGACTAACATTAGTCCCAGGACTACACCAATAACATTCATTTTTCGTATTAATAAACAGCGACTAAGGACAGACCAAGCTAAACCTTGGCTAGTCTCGGACTAACATTTAATCCGAGGTAGTGGCGGGTTTAGAGAGTGACTAACTTGACAATTGAAGTTGAGTTGAGTTTTGTTTTGGTATTCATAACCTGAATTGTTTTTGATTATTCATACATTATTTAATATTGGAAGATTATTTTATCAACGACTTAAGATTAATAGAACAACTTAATGACCATAGAAATCAGTGAAATAATATTCATCTATACCTTTTCATTAAGCGATGCAGGGCATATAAACAACGATAAATTTAACAGATAATTGTTAAAGATGTTCCAAATGAGTCTACCCGTTCCGATAAGTAACAGTATAATTATGACACTTTATTATTTTTTTTCTTTTCTCAAATATTCGTGTTTATTGCATAGTAAATAAATTAATGTTATCACTGAATACATAGTAAGTGAAAAAATAATCCGATTTATAAAATTAATGAATATTTTATGCATAAATGCAAGTAACAGTTCTTCAAAAATATTTAAAAACTAACCGAAATGTCCATCTTTATTTCGTCTGCCGATGTTTTCAGCAGCTCATACCGGTTCGGACACGATTTAATGTTTACATCTTCCTGCATCGCTTAATGAATTTTAAAATATATAAAATTTGTTTAATAAAATATTTTACAATTCATTATGTTTATTAGTATTTTCTATATTTTCCCTTTGTAATAAAATACTTTTTAAAGTTTCCTCTTGAACTTTTATAAAGTTTAAACTTTTCAGATAAAAAAAATATTATAAAATATAAACAAACTTTCTTAAAACACAGTCCAACTAAAATTAACTCTGCGTGCTCCAACTTATGCTAACTGTCAAATTCTCAAATATTTTTCTTCTTTTTCACAAAATTCTCTCCATTTTTCTTCTTTTTCGCAATGGTTGCCAACATAAACTTGTTGTACCTAGGACTAAGGAAGGTTTAGTTAGTCTGAGCTTAGTCCATGATTATTAATAACATTCTGAAAATGAAGTTAGTACTCGCTTAATCTGGGACTAACTAGTCCGAGACTAACTTCGGACTAAGCAATTTTTATTAATAATACTGTTATAGGGTTTATAACTAGAAACACTTCTCAATTTTCATGTTTTGTTTTACCAATTCTTTTTAATAGTCTCATTCGCTCCAGACTAGAATATGCAATAGTTGTATGGGGACCTTACTATCAAACATCTATAGACAAGCTTGATCGTGTTTAGCATAAATTTGGTAAACAATATCATTACCGTAGTGCTTTACATGACCTCTCTGTCCCATACAGTTATAGTATGATAGCGGATCACTTGAAAATGGTTTTTGTGAATCGGCGAAAAGATTATTTTTGCCTAATATTCCTTTACAAAATTGCTAATAATTTGATAAATTGCCCTGAACTTTTAAATCGATTAGGTCTTAACACTCTTCATGGAACTAGGCATACTTCATTATTTCATCTATCATTTATCAATTTAATTATGAATACTTCAGCCTCTTACTCATATGGTGAGACTATATAATAGGTACCAAAGTGATCTGGACTTATTTTTCCAGTCCTTAGAAAAATTTAAAAATGTGATAAAGAGACTGTTATTTGTGTGATATTAGTTTGTATTCAATTATTAATTTTTGTTAAACTTTACTAATTATTTTGCAATGTTATGCTTACTTTGTAAAATTTTATATATTATATTTTGTTCCAATGTAAATGGTATATCCGTTAATAAATAAATAGATAAATAAATAAATACATTATTAAGCGCCTGTTGATGTCAATGGATTAATATTGCGTTTGGTTTTTGTATATTTTTGATTATTATTTTATTTAATATTAAAAGTTTGATTTAGCAGAATTATTGGTGGAGGCAGTACAAAATTTTTCATTCTCTGCGCCTTCACCAATTCTATATGTTCACATAATTTGTGGTTAAATAAATGTCAAGTATACCTGATGCATGGGATATGTCAAAAATGCTTCTAAAGATCGTCCTCTACAGGCTGGTTTACTTTCCAACCGTTTTAATAGAGCAGAAAACTGAATTGATTGCTTACATTCTGTCAGTACTTGGAGGGAATAATGATGGTTCCTTACGTATTCTTGATAAATGCTTAATAAAGGAAGTAACATGGAAAATAAGTCACCTGAAATTACAGAATGAATAATATATAGGTTTAAGGCAACAAGAAGATATTAAAAACATACGTACACAAATATTTTGCTGTACTTACCCAAGACAAGTGTCGGCCAACTCTCTAACCTGGACGTCAATCCTTTTAGAAAGATCTGATGAAGAAATAGTACTGTCTCGCTGTTTAAGAAAATCGAGTTTACGTCTTCATGGGAACATGGCGGTTTCTTTGAGGAAGCTGCCATTTTGAAAGGCCTCAGAAAACACGTCACTAGCACTTCCATCTGCTCCATGTACTCTTCTTCATCTTCAACCATACGAAACACAAGGCTGTTACGCTTGCGCATGCTCTCAGCGTGGGGACTTTTGATGTACTGTTCTACTATTTGCTTCCACCTTCTTCGACACAGCCAACCACGGAAGAAACTCTGGACTTTCTTTATCTTCCGCAGTGCAATGGAATCTTCATCTAAGTTAGAGAATTGACTACCTACGTCTGAGCTAGAGTTACCTTGATATGTCGCTATATTGCCGTTTAATTGATAGTGTGGCATCGATCTCCATTCTTTCTTCAGAGCAAATAACTACAATAGAATAGAGCAAATTAATATCTTCCTATATCGATACTGTGTACATGCTATACAGATGGCTTCCAGATGAAAGTGACGACCTGAAAGGTATAAGAAGAAGAAATTACGCCATTTTAATATACTTGAGAAGTATTCCTTTACCTTTCTAGCCGAGATGAGGGCTAAGAGATACAATTAATATGCTCTGAGATAATTAGGCGATGTTAAAGCCTTTAAAGGTTTTTAATTTGTGAATCTCATAATGTTATTGAGCTTATTTTGCCCTCTCCCATATATTTCGGTCTAAAAGTGTCCACCGAAATACAAAGATGAGAATATATAAAACTTTAATTCGGCCAATAGCATGTTATGGCAGCGAAGCATGGGTCCTGAAAGAAACATCCAAAAACAAACTCGACACATTCGAAAGAAAAGTACTGAGGAAAATACTAGGACCTGTGAGGGAAAACGGAATCTTCAGAATTCGATATAACAACGAGCTCTATCAACTGTATAAGGAAACACCCCTGTCAAACTTCATTAGATACAAAACGAGCACTGAACGCCAGAATGCAGGGAAAGAGACCAGTTGGAAAGCCAAGAAAGCGCTGGGAAGACACAGTAAGCAGCGACGCACAAGCACTTTTAGGAGTCCGTGTATGGAGAAGAGCAGCCACAGAGAGACAAGGGTGGAGGCAAAAAATAAAGGAGGCCAAGGCTCATTTTGGGCTGTAGTGCCGTAGAAGAAGAAAAATAATGTTATTGAAGCGATGCCCAATGTAATCGTTTAGTTGTTGGGATTAAACTCCTAGATGGCACGACGGTTTTGGCGGCGTTGCCATATTAATTCATAATTTAATATATTTTAGTGAATTAAAGGTAAATTGTAATTTTAATAAGGATATCCAAGCTTGTGCTACAAAGATTAAATACGAAAAAAGCGAATTAAGCATATTATCTATATACAGATCGCCTAAAAGTAACAGCACAGTAGATGATTGGACGAATATTTTCTCGGAAGTAACTAAACCAGCAATTATAGGTGGAGAGTTTAATGCTCATCATACAATATGAAGATCAAATTTTAATGATGTAGTTGGAAAACAACGTATAACAGCTGCAAATGATTTGGGTTATATAGTAATGAATAACGACCAACCAACTATTCTGACCTGACCTGATCAAAATATTTCAGCCATCGATGTAACTTTCGCCTCGCCTGAACTAACTAGTAAAATAATCTGGTCCGTCTATCTAGATACTTTAGGCTCAAATCATTTTATCATCAACATGAAAATGAATTGCAAGAATAAAATTGAATAGATTAATCCTGCAAGCAAGTGGAATATAAAAAAGGCCAATTGGTATTTATATGCATCTCCTGTTGAACAATTGTTTGATAAGCAGTACCAAATGGAAAATATATCAGAAAAATACAGTTTCTTAATAGATGGGATCAACCAGGCAGCAGTATCTACTATGACCTATCAGTATCAACTATTCGCATCCAGATTAATTCTTCAGTATGAACCTTTTAAAAACAAAATTCGAAACCCTTTCCCTTGGTGGAATAGAGAATACGATAGAGCCATTAGTAAGAGGCAAGAATCTCTTTTAATATATAAACATAATTCGAATTTTGAAAATTATTTGAAATGCCAAAAGACCATAACTTTTGCTACTAATACAACCGGTAAGAAAAAACTAAAAGCAAATGCTTAAACAAAGTTGGAAAAATGTTGTCTCCGCCTTAAATAAAAATACTCCATCATCAGATTTATGGAATCAAGCCAGGAAAATAAACAGAAAACCAATATCGAATACAAAATGCTTTGACAGTACATTAGAGGAAGAATTTTTGATCAAATAACACCACCATCTGTTATACCACTGGAAATTACAATATATTCTATAAATAACGAAAAGGAATTTTTACTAGAACCCATTAATATTACTGAATTAGAGTATGCACTCACAAACAGAAATAATTCAAGTCCAGGATTGGATAATATTAAATATCATATGATTCAGTTTCTTCCAAAAATTGATAATTTTCCATTTTTATTGGATATATTCAATGACATAATTATTAATAATTCAGTTATTCATGAATTTAAAGATGTAATTATTATTCCTATTCTCAAACCAGGTAAAAATCCCCATTTATCCAAGTCATGCAGACCCATTTCCCTAATGTCTTGTTTGCTAAAAACATTAGAACGAATGAACAAACATAGACTGGAATGGTGGTTAGATGAGAACACATTAATTCCAGACCAATTTGGATACAAAAAAGGATGTGGTACTATAGATGCTCTTGCTACATTAGTAACGGACATTCAGGATACATTTTCCAATAATACATACCTACCTACAATATGTTTGGACATAGAAGGTGCTTATAATAACGTTTGTCTGCACATCCTTATGGAAAAAATGATTAGAAATTGTCATATACCAGCTACATTAGTGAAAACCCTTCTCAACTTTTACTAGCAGAAAAATTTATTTGAGATCAAATAACAATAAACTTATAGGTCCTCGATATAACAACCTAGGACTTCCACAATGGTCAGTTTTGAGCCCTTTATTATTTAATCTATAATCATCTGATTTGCACAATGTCTCCATATTAAATAATAGTTTTAATATAATACAATACGCTGATGATTTTCTTATATATTCATCTTCCAAAACATACGATAAGTGCATACAAATTTTGGGAAATATGTACGATTTCTCCAATAGCTGGTTTAAAGAAAATGGGTTCGAAATAGCACCAAGTAAATCTAGTATATATATTTTCACGAGGCATAATCTCCCAAAAATAGATAAGTTAACAGTGAACAGTCGGGAATACAATTTCTGCTCTTTAATTAAATACTTATGGATGATTCTTAAGGGAAATTAACTTGGAAGTTACACATTGACTTCATGTTAAATAGATGTAATAAGGGATTAAATTTCCTTAAAGCAATTTCTAAAACTTGGTGGGGAGCCGGTGTAGAAACTGCGTTATTTTTTTATCGATCGTACATAAGATAAATCATAGATTATGGATGTGTTTTGTATGGTTCAGTAGCTAAGTATATCTTGGGGAAAATATAGGTGTTTCAAAATACAATATTACGTATTTGCCCAGGTACTCTGAAATCAACTCCAACCAATTCATTATATGTTGAAGCCCTAGAATTTCCACAAATCTCTCTCTTTACTACAGTATTAGCAAACTTAATAATGCAGATTTAACAAATAAATATTGGATATACAAAAACTTTCCTCCCCTTTGTGACGCTTTTAGAAATATGTCAAATTGTGATTACACTAACTCATACACATATGATAATTCAAACTTTTAAGCAAATTTTATGCTTTTTTGCAAATTATTACGATAATTAAACCAAGGTACCATGTAAATACTGCAATCAGCTACAATATTTTAAGGAATTTATTAGAAAACTGTTATTCAATATTAAACTCAACAGTTATTTATACAGAGGCATCAAAGTCTTCTCTTTGCACTAGATGTGCTTTTATATTCCTTCAAAAAGTATAGAAAACATGTTTAGATCATAATTTTTCAATTTTTACTGCTGAAGTCATAGCAATTTATGAAGCATTAAAGTATTTTAAGAATGCCAATGACAACTCAGAAATAATTGCATCTGATTCTTTGTCGGTACTTATAGCTATTGAGACTATATCTTTTCCTAGCTAAAGCACAAATATTTACATCCTTCTAATCAAAAAAAATATTTTTGAATTACATCAGGAACAAAGAACAGTTGGATTTTTGTGGATGAAAGCTCACATAGGGCTTGAGCATAATGAGTATGTAGAATATTAGCTAGGAAAGCCATTGATTCTGGTGCAAAAATAGATTATAAGCTCTGCATACTAGATGTATTTGTAACAATCAAGAATATTATAAACAATAAGTGGAAACAAGAATATTATGAATATAGTCAACACTCTAACTCACAATATGCACTCGTACAGTCCTTAATCCCGAGTGAATTTTGGTTTAAAAATTACTCTGATCCACTTAGATACATTACATCTATTATCAGAATGAAATCAGGACACGCATGTTAACCGGCTCATCTAGGTCATCCGGTCTAGTTTGTATTTTAATTTAATGTCTTGATGGGTCCCTAGACGAGAAGCGAGTAACCAGGTTTGTTCCTTTACTGATAACCAAATAGCCAATAATAAATATATTCTGATAATTATTTTCTTTTCTTTCCTTTGGGAAGAACTTTAAAAAGTTGTGACTGGCTGACTGGCAAATGCCTACGTCAAAAAAACTCCTAGATGAGAGGAAAGCAGGTAAGTGCACCAAAAGTTGTCTCATATGACTATAATGCTGCTGTGTGGTACCAAACACTTCGTCGGTGAGCTAATCAGAAGCCAACTGAAGGAAAAGTGGCAAAGCAAACTAGATTGGAGTCAGGAGCCTAGCCTGGCATTAAAAAACTTATTGTTAGGAGATAAATAAAACTATTAATTATTTCCTAATTTTTGTTTGATTTTGCACGTAACCTGTAGACATACTGTACACAAGTATATATAAAAAAACTTGTATAAACACCATGCTTTCATAATTATAGTAGTAATAATCGGGGCGGTCCTTATTCTATTGATCAAGAATACAAATGTATGTGGTTTATAAATAATAAAACGTCAATTGATCCCCTTTTATCATCGTGATTTTTAAAATGTAAAGAAACAGTTTAAACATGTCTTATTTGTATAATGCACAGACAATATTATAAAATTTCATTAATTTGAACTAAATAGTAACTTAAAATTTATTAATTTTTACAATATATAAAACTTAGAAAAAAATTATAACCTTGCGTGACCACACTTTTGGTCTCCTATCATCATCACGTAGAGCTACAACCCTGGGTGGGAATGCAAACAAACTGCAAATAAACGGGTATAAAATGGATATCGTACCATCGCAAGAAACTAAACTAACATCAAGTTAACAGGATAGGATATCTACAGGAACGACTACAGAGTAAATTCAAGAGGAATTGCTATCCTAGTGACAAAATGAATAAACTATAGATTACAACAGATGCCGATTATGGAAGCAACAACAATAAAAGTCTAAATGAGAATAGTGATATAAGGATCACTTCAACATACATAAGGCCAGCAGATCCTTTAAATAATTGTAATCTGTATGCGTTCCTGAACATAGAAGAAACCTAATAATAGGAGACCTAAACGCTAGATCCACTTACTAGAACGAACGAGCTACAAACAAAAACAAAAGAATATTAAATAATTATCTAGTGAATAATAAAGACACCATGGCAATTGCGCCTATCTAACCAACCTTCAAGGAAATACTCTACCAATCCATTTGGATACAAATAAACATTAAACGAAGGATCAGGAGACCACAACCCTATATTCCTAGAAATAGCCACATGGGAAGAAGATAACAAAACAACAAGGAAAAGAAATAAAATAAAGTGGTCTAACTTCAAACTACTAGTGAGCATAGGAATTAAAAACGTTCCTGCAATTGTCAATCCACAATAACTAGAGAAATAAGTTGTAGATCTCAAAAATATCATAAAAGAAGTATAGAAGATAGCACTACTGAAGAAGAATATGAAATTCATGTGGGAAGATTTAGAGACATTAATCACGAAATAAAAAAAAAGAAAAGAGAAAAGAACAGGGCAAAAAGAGAACCAGAAGAAATCAGGAAGATAAAAATAGAGCAAACCTACTGAATCGACAACAGGTACCAATAGATCAAGAATCATCTACTCTGTAAAAGAGAAAGCCAAGGTGATAAAACAAACTCTTAAGAGAATCAAACAAACTGAAATAGAAACGCCGAAAGAACACGAAGAAATAATAAATCTCACATCACCAACAGAAATATGTGAACTGATCAGAAAATGTCTACCAAAGAAAACACCTGATCAACAGAGATTTGAAGTATCTTCCTCTGAAAATAATTGTATATCTGGCGAATATAATAAACGCTAAGATACAGATACAGATAAGGAATTTCATGTACTCATGATACTAAAGCCAGGAAAAACCATATATTTTCGCAAAATCAAAATTACAGGCCGATTAGCTTACTTTCGTTAAGACAGTAGAGCGAGACATCCAAACCAAACTCCAACCAAAAATAGACAGCCTAGGGTTAATCTCAGAAGCACAATTTGGATTCAGAGCTTAACATTCCAGCGAATTCCAAGTACTGAGACTGAATCGAGCTGCTATGTATCCTTTTACTAGGTTTTAGAAATTCCTAAAAATATATCAATAAAAAACACAAAAAATGGCTTAGGTCGCCATAAAAATTAATAAAACTAACAAAAAGAGCAAGCCACAAAAAATACTAACAAAACCCAAAAACGGGCAAAAGGGGCCCACATCCTCAATCAGCGAGTCACCGAACTTGGTCTGCATTTTTGGAGGTAGGATTTGATGTGAAAGGTCTTGCATTCAGGACTCTCACATGATAAGCACTTTGCTTATAAGAGAACCTCTATAACGCATCAGAGTGCTATCGGGGAGGGGGAGTAGATAGTCCGGAGTGGGGTGGTTCCTTTTTACACGAGTTAATCCTTCTCGCTAATGAATTATATTACCCTAATGTCATATTTAAGGGATGTGCAAGTCTCTCAAGCTGGGTTAAACTATTGTTTGCTTGCTAAAGATCTGTTTACAAAACACTACTGTCAAATCTAATTGGTACAATTCTGACAAATTTACATTGTTACATTTTGGCTAACTGATTTACTAACTTTAATTAACTTACTTCATTTGTGTGTACAGCTCCCTACACATAAAAATACGACAAAAATATTAATCTTTAAAAGTCATCAATTTAGTACTTACTTCAGCCCTTAGTTTCTTAATTTCGGTTGCCAGCTCTTCGCATTGCAAAGTATACTGCCACTTTGCCGTTTTTTCCGATTCAACAATCTGTAGTAAGTGCAGATGCTTCTGTTCCAGTTCTTCTTTTTGAAGTAGCAGCTTGTTAAAACTAAAAGAATAGATTTTAAGTCTAAGAAATGAAATCTGGCTGAAGAAAATATGCAAAGGCTTCCAATTGGGCGGCATTTTAAAGAACTCCGTAGTTTAGAAGGAAATATATTGTAACGAATAGTTTGAAACACAATAACATATAAGAATTATCTTCCGGAGAAATAAAGAAACTACAGTACCCTAGTCCATGCATGCAGCGTACCTACGAGAAGTGAAACGATCATAGTAGCGCAGTTACAGGGAATTGTGGACGAAGGGACACCTGTTGTAATGGTGCCTTGGAACCATGACGACGAGGTTGGCCGAGGAATCATAATTGGAAAGAAATTGGTGACTTCGGCTAAACAAATACCTGTGAGATTTATCAATGTCAATGACTACCCAGTGACCATCAAGAAAGAGACAAAAGTAGGAACTTGTGTACCTGGGACATCTATAATCCGTCAGACAACAACATCCGATAATTCCAACGACAAATTCGACCAAATGGGTCGACAGACGATGGGTCCCTTCGGTGGTCCTGATTAAGAAGAAAGACGGAACGACGAGGTTCTGTGTGGATTACCGTTTGCTGAACAACGTTACCAAGAAAGATAGTTATCCTCTGCCTCGGATCGACGACACATTGGACACATTGACTGGAAGTAAATTGTTTTCTGCTTTGGATTTGAAGTCTGGATACTGGCAGGTAGAAATGGACCCACTAGATAAAGAGGAGACAGCCTTCACCACAGGATCTGGATTGCTCCTGCAACATCTGAGAGGCTTATGGAAAATGTGTTGAGTGGGTTATCTTGGAAAACATGCCTGGTTTATCTAGATGACAAAATCGTCTTGGGGGAGAAATTTGAAGTCCATTTTCTTGGACTATGTCCAACAATGATGCTCAACGACGACTGAACGCCTACTAAGATAAGGGAAGAACAAGAGAGAGAGATCCAATTGTACAGAAAATTCAAAAATGGAAAGAAGATGGAAGATAGCTTGCTCAAAGGAGAACTGGAAAATGATGACGGTTCAGAGAAGAAAAGGAAGGAACTTCGAAAGCGATCTATTCCAAGGAATATGTGATAGACTAGGCATGAAGGAAACAAGAACTACAGGTTGAATAGGACAGTTGGCAAGTATTTGACAAAGATGGTGTCCGATCATCAGCGACAATATCTTCCGTTCTTCACAATGGTTTACATATCTGCTAACTAATCAACAGGCCAGACACCAGCCAGAGTCCTATTCGGACGTGAGATGGGACTACCTTGTGATCTAGAGTTTGGGTGTCGACCTGCAGAAGATGTAGCAGGTGAAGATTATGTGATGGAATTACGAAGAAGAATGGACGATGTACACGAGTTAGTCCGTTCCCATCTTCAGATCGCTAGCGACTGAATGAAGAAACGGTACGATACGCAGGCCGAAATGGGGTGCTTTAAGAAGAACGACAAAGTCTGGCCCTATAATCCCAAGAAGCGAAAAGGTTGTTCTCCCAAGTTGCAGCAGTTTTGGGAAGGTCCATACCTCATTATGGAGAAGATCAACGATATCATCCACCGAATAAGCAAAATTACGAGGGGAAAGCCGATGATAGTACACCATAACCAGCTGGCGCCTTTCAAAGGTGACCACGACGTAGATGAAGAAGTGGAAGTAAACCAAGTCCAAGATGTGTATAACCTCACGTTTGAGGAATTCATGAGGGCCTATGGAGGTACCGGTAAAGCAAGATATGGTGTTACCACTGAAGAAAAGCAAGATCTACTCGCGCTTCCCGATGACTACTCGGTCCAGTTGCCGATACCAGTATACCGTTCCAGTTCCGGTCCCGATGACTCATAACTAAACTGTAAAGATATTTTTTCTAACAAGTATTTTCTAGTAGGGTCCCCATCGATGAAACCTGTTCCATGCCGTTCGAGGACGGTCAGCAAATGTCACTGGCCGGTTCGAGGGAACTCTAGAATAACGGATATTACATATATATCGAGGAATTGTTATTGAAAAGGGTTAGTTTGAAAACAATAATTATATCGCGGTATATAGTTTAAATTGTAAGGCGGGGAATAAATGTTTTAAATAAAGTATATAAACTAGAATAGTGTCAGTTAGTGTAAGATTATATATAAATTAAATAAAGACTTTAATGAACTAAGTGTTATAACATTATTTTATAATAAATAAAGTTAATAGATTAGACTTATAAAAATAGTTCAATATAACGCCTACGAATAAGTTGATGTGTCGATGATATAGGTTAAGGGCGAAGACATTAATTTATGACAAGAAAATATGAAAATATGATAATATGAAAATTTTCTTACCTTGCTTCTCTGATTGCTTCGATCCAGTTTTTGCACTCCATTTCATTGAGCGCGCGCAACTCATACTGTCGGATATTTTCTCTTCGATATGTAACAGCAAAACAAAACTAGAAGAAATAGTTTAAAATGCATTGATCATATATTTTAATTCAATTAAGAAGAGGTATCTTTATGTAATGGGATCAGAATAGAGTATTAATCACAAAGTTTCTTTTTTGACTGATAACTCACCTGTCTCTCGGAACTATCTTTTGATTTAGATCCTGTTCCAGCAGTTGGTAACCTTTCACAATAACAACCTTCTAGCATTAATATTCCAGAAGGGCGGTTGCATTGCTCAGATTCGTAGTAAAACAGGAGATTCTGTGAAAACAGGAGAAAAATTAAGCCATTCTAATAATTTGGATATTTTTTAAATAACTTTTCGTACATTATTTTATCCATTTTTAAATACGCCTTTGATACTTTTAGTGGTTTCTATTCATTACATTTGTTATCCATCTCGTTTTAGTATATTTGTAGAGATTGTTACTCTATTTTATTTAAGGTTTCCCTTCCTTTGACTCAGAGCATAATTTCTTTCTTCAAAGCATGGGGTCATCGATACTATAAAACTTAGATTTCAAAAGCCACAATTTAAATAATTTTAAGGACCAAAATCGAAATAACATATCGCTTGCTGAGAACATTAGTGACACAACTCAAAAATTGTAGTTTGTAGTAAATGGCGTTTTAAGTTTTAGCGGAAATACAATATTTGACTGCTCAGTAGCTGACTAACTTATTGAAGTATTTTCGATTTCATTCATCATCTAATTTTTATTAAAAAACTGAATATTCGATAAATTCGAAATAAAGGAGAATTTTAGGACGGAATATTATTCTGTGTTCTTATAATTCAAAGTACTGAAGAACGCAGCATGACTAGGTGGTATAGATTTATTCTGGATGAGGCTTTGCTTTGCAGGTCATCATACTCTTTCTTACTAATTTTAACAGTATCCAAATATGCTGGGAATAGATAATAATTTTGTTCACCAACACATTGGACCGAATATCTAAAACGTTGCTATAGGAATTGGATTGGATGTAAGATGAAAACAGGTGGAAAATCGGAAAACAGTGGATCAGCGAAGATTTAATGACGATAATGCATACAGCACTGTTTTGCCTGGCCATACTTTATCTCACAAATTAAATTCAAAAGTGTTCATAATTTTATTTGTATATTAAATTGACCTACCTGATATAGCACAAACCATCTCAGTTGCCATTTGCTGCTATCTGCAGATCTTTTGTGAAGATAGCCTGATTTGACATGGTCATAGTGAGCTCTTTCCGACAACATCAGGAGTTGATTTTCATTTACTCGAATAGTTCTTTGCATCTTAGGACTTAACATTATTATGGCAAAATTATTTGGCTTTATTGTATCAACTAAGTTTTGTTATACATTCGATCCAGAAATTAAACGGTACAGCTGGGGTTGCCTTATTTTGAACCTCGCAACCTGAAAAAAACTGTTTTTAAACAAAATCCACAAGGAAAAATTCCTGTAGCTGGCTGTATACCACGTATAACAAAAAGAGGTTAATCTTTGTAAATGGGTATATTTATTTAAAAAACCCCTAAAAGGGCCACATCAATAAAACAAACGTTTTCGGACTACACAGTCCATCATCAGGTTATTAAAATCGAAAATGCCTAAAAATAAGTATAAACCATTTAGTTAAAACAAACGAGATTTTGAAATTTTGACTATGGTTGAAGAGCAAAAGATGGTTATACTTACTAGGTCATAATGCCTGAGCCACCAAAATAGTCACCTAGTCAAAGAAAAACAAAAAAGCCCCAATTGTGTTAATCGCCATGTATCTTTCAACCGTGACTTTCAACCTTTACATCGTCAACTTTTTTCATAGTCCACACTTCACAATACTGTCCTATTTTCTCTGCCTTATTTTCCTATACAAACGTCAACACCTTACTCCTACATAATCTTGTTGTTCTTCAAACACCCATTCTATACAATATCGTCACACTTTCCTCTCACAAATTTCTGACCCCAATTTTAACTTCAGAACCATCCACATCCATCATACCAACATTTCACTATCTTATCCACTCTTCACTTCTACTTCGTTTTCCTATTAATTTTGTTCTCTTTCATTATTTCTTGGTCAATTCATATATTAAACATGTATCCAATAGTTTTAATTTAGTAATTACTCAAACATTATCTAACAATTTATTAAAATTCATAATCTACCATATTACAAAGAATCCTAATCTACCTTTGTCCACCTTTTTTCGGTCAACAACTTAGTAGCACACATATACAACAAATTTCAGGTTTCTACAAACTGAATTTAATACCACCTAAATAGATTTTGTTCAGGGTGCTAGATACTTTAAGTATAAAGGACCCCTATTATCTCTAATTGTTGATCAACTCCTTTTCTCCTTCAACCCCCCCCCCCCTCCTTTTCTTTGGTCATTTCTTTTACTTTCATTCTCATTAGTCTCTGAGGAACCCAGTCTCTTCAATTTTAAATTCAATCACATATGTTATTACTTCAACTTCTTCAGCCTGTAGATTTCCATCTTACTAAACTTAATTTTATTAATTTTTCACCATAGGATCATTCTTAAATAAAGTCATTTAAATATGAGGTCTGATATTAGCTTCAAATATTTGTTATTTAATTTTTACCTTGTCCTAGATGTGTTAAACATAAAAGGATAAATTTCATAAATACAAGCTAACCCAAAATTAAATACACTTTAGACCACATTCCATACGACGAAAAGCAACATAAGTTGCCTAAGGCACAGGTCATTATATCAATCATGACTATAAAACCATCATTGATTTGACATCTTTTATACCCTAAATTAATAAATAAAAAGTTTTTAAATCCCAACACCTAGATTGTTGTTATTTTTAAAATCATCAAAACTTGTTGAATCTTTTGGCTGTAGTAATACTATGTACAACTTTTATAGTTTTTGTTGCATTGACATTCTGTTATCTTCATCCTTCAAAAGTATCTTGTCAATCAGTTCCACGTTGTTCTCCGAGTGCAGAGGTACCCTCTCACCCGGCTCTGGAACCCAATTGAGCCATGTGTTACCTTTAGTCAAATTTAATTTAATATTGAACATCACAATTATTTTATAACACAATGTACAACATTTCATAACTAAATGTAATTTAAAGGGTTTTTACCCTAATATTTTGGTGGCTCAGGCATTATGACCTAGTAAGTATAACCATCTTTTGCTTTTCAACCATAGTCAAAATTTCAAAATCTCGTTTGTTTTAACTAAATGGTTTATACTTATTTTTAGGCATTTTCGATTTTAATAACCTGATGATGGACTGTGTAGTCCGAAAACGTTTGTTTTATTGATGTGGCCCTTTTAGGGGTTTTTTAAATAAATATACCCATTTACAAAGATTAACCTCTTTTTGTTTTTAAACACTTTTAAACTAAACAATTTTACTATAAACGTCTTTAAAGACGACAAAAACTCATTTACCACGAAATTATTATTAATATACGAAGTTTTTGGCCTAAGAGTGAAAAAACGTGATTTTGGATTTTGTAAAATATGCATTTATTTTTTCGATCAGACGATTAGTGAACTTATACTTTTTTATGTAGTTTTATCTTTCCTTTTGAAAAGCTGTATAAAAATTGGCGGACTACTAACTGTGCCAACCTATATCGGCCAGCAGTTGAAAGCAGTATATTTGGCATTTTTCTTTGTATTTTCGCAGCATCTGCATCTTGCAGTATCCACTTTACCCATTTTATAGAAATTATATTTCAGTAATCAGTGTGTCCAATGAAAACAGGACACACTGATTATTATTCTACTAATATGATAATAGTCTCAGGATTATTCTGAGTTCACATTTGTGAAGCTGCAAGAAAAGGAAGTACTACCACTCGAAAACCACATAAGCGTAACATAGATATGATTTCGAAATTATTTTTAGTAAAAGATAACAAAATCGGTACGGTATCCTGGATTCACATACCATATAATGGGTTTTCAACATCCAAAGATATAGAGCTTGCTGTAATTTATAAACCATGCGAAAGTAAATTTAATACTAATTTATACACCAAATGTTGCTAACGAGGAAAAAGAAATAGAAAACTATTACACTGAACTATATTTCAGAAAATCTAAAGACGTATTACCAATATACTTCAAAAGTGCAAGTACTTTTGAAGCTGTACCGATAAAAATCTTAATCTTGACTTAGAAATCGGAGCTCGGATTGAAATTTCCAGAGCAAATTTTTAAAAAGCGTAGGCTTAAACGATAGATCGCTCGATAAGTTGGATATATAATAACAAATATATAATTTTGTAAAGTGCTTCATATATTCCACACTTTTTGATGGGGTTAAATGCTGTAGTTCTTGTTTTCATCATACCTAGTCTATTGCCGATTCCCTGGAATTCCCTCGCTCTCGAAGTTCCTTCTTGGTAACTATGGATCTCAAAAGAAACACCAAATCGGCTAATGTGCTCTCTTTGATTAATACATCAGCAATACAACTGTACAACTGGATCTTTCTCTTGTTCTTCCCTTATCTTAGTTGTTCTTATCACCGCTGCTTCCTTGGATTCCGTTTTGTTGCAGTGGGAATACTCTGCTGAGCATGGCCTTCTGGAAAGAGAATCAGCATTTCTGTGGCTAACTCCGGCCCGGTGCTGAATCTTAAAATCGTATTCTTGGAGTCGTTCAATTCATCTGGCTATCTGATCCTCTGGATTCTTAAACTGCATTAACCACTTAAGCTGACGTGGTAGGTTTGAATTTAAAACTTCCTTCCAGAGACGAACTGATAGAAGCGTTCTACTGATTTCACTTTTGCAAGAGTTCTGTTCTCGTGACATCAGTGTCTTTTTCTTTACCTAAGTTTAAAAGCACTTTACGAAAATATCCAAGGATTGGTTCCCATCCTCCTTGAATGTGAGATAGCACTGCTCCAATATCCATATTATTTGCATCTCTATCTAAGATAACCTTTCTTTCTGAAAGTGTATACACTAATATTGGTGCAGTCATTAAATGCTTCTTAAAGTTTCAAAGGCAGTTTGGTAGTCTCCATCCTAGCAGTAATATATTGCTAAATTTTCATTTTAGTAATTTCTAGACGATTTGTTGCGTATTTTGTTAATCAATTGTTATACTACTAATATAAAACTACCGTTAGATAAAAATACTTGACTTATATCTTTATATTACATTGCATTATTTGCATTTTTGACAAGGTTCTTGACTGT